CCCAAAAAAAAAGCAGCTTTTTTCCTTTCCCAGAAATAAAGAGAAACGGAAAGCAACGGCAGATCGGGGCAGCCCCGCATGGATCGACCGCACCGCGCCCCTGCCCTGCGCTGCCCGGCCGGGCCCGGCCCCTTCCCAGAGGGACATGGAACGAAGGAAGTCCGTGCAAGGACCGGAGCCCGCTTTTGCGCGGCGTCCCCCGGCCTCAGCCGCCCCTCTCAGCAGTGCTTCTCCCCCCGGTTCTCTCACACACCAATAACAGCAGGGACGGAGCCCGCTGCATCCGCACTGAGTGTGAGCAGCGTGGCTCTGCTCGGGAAGGGGAAGGAAAAAAAGAAAGAGAGAGAGGGAGAGAGAGAGAGAGAGAGAAGGTAATTAATAATAATTTTAAAAGGAAGCAAACAAGAACAACGAGCTGTGCTGGGATGGACCCCTACAGCCTTCCCGCCCGCTGCCTCGCCCTTGGACTCCTGGACTTTGTCGGCTCCCTGGGCCTGCGCTGCCCCCGGGCTGCGCGGTGTGAGCGCGTGTTTGAAAATAGCCACGCAGGGCTCTGCGGTCCCGGCTCTCGCCCTGCGCCCCTCCGGCTGAGAGACGCGACGGGGGAACGGGGGTCGGCTCCGAGTGCGTTGTGTGTGGGGGGAGGGGGAGGGTGATGGGAGCCCCCGCTCGGTTCTGTCCGCAGCAGAGGGGCTCAGGCTCAGCGACAGGCAGCGCGGTGCCCCCGCAGCTCCGCGCGCCGCGGCGGCCGTGCAGCAGTAGGGCCGGGGCTGGAGGTATCTCCGGGAAAAGAAGTGCTCCGCTTCTGCTGGCGGCAAACGTTCTGCGGTGAGCAGGGCCTGAAAGGGCTGTGCACTGGGCTGCGGCTCAGGGAGCTGGAAGGGACTCCAGACAATGTCACAGTCTGGAGGCATTGTCGTTCCAACCAGCAGCTCCGTGGTACGACCTCGGATTTGTATCTGAGAGCCACCAGGACGGGGGCACCGCGGAGCCACGACTGCAAGAAGAGGGCATCCCCGGCCCGCAGCATCCCCAGGGCCATGCCGTGCTCTGCGGGCGGCCGACACGCACGGAGCAGGGAGAAATGCTACGGAGCGACATAAATCTGAGTTTTGGGGCCTTCCGAGGGCCGCTGCTGCTTTCCCTCAGGTGGTGAGGTCATGGATTTTTTTTTTTCTCTCTGGTTCACAGACCTCGGAAGTGAAAGGGCAATTCCCCTGCCCCGCGGCACTCTCGCAGCTCACAGCCCCGGCTCGGGGCCGCCCGGGAGCGGAGCGCCGGCAGAGCCGTTCCCCTCGGTACTGCCCGCACCGGGACTGGGCAGCACATTCCCAGGAGCCGACGCAGCGCGGTGCGGGGCGGGCAGGAGCAGAGGGCCGCGCAGAGCCCCGAGCCTCGGCAGCACACCTCGTGTCGTTTGCGTTGTGTCACCTCCGGGCCACACAGCAGCGCCCATCCCGGCCGACCTGGGGACTCCGGTGCTCCGGGCAGCAACCGGGGAGCGTTTTGCTGCCACACCATCTCTCCCGATAGTGCCACAGGCTCCCGATTCTCTCTGTTTTTTTTTTCACTTTACAACACCACTGCGAGCGAACGGCAGGCCGACGCTATCGAACGGACCCCTGGGATGGGTTTGCCCACGGCCGGAGGCAGAGCGGGTGGTGCGAGAGCCGGACTGTCCCGGGCGGCGGAGCGCTCCGTGCCGTGACTGCCGCGACCCTCAGGGCACAGAGTGCGGACAGCCCCGGGTGGAGGTGGGGCGGGGAGGGGCAACCCCGGCTGCAGCGCTGTCCCGTGCAGGAGAGCCCCAGGCAGGAGCGCATCGTCCCCTTCGGACGGCGGTGCCACCATCGGGGGCTGATGGTGGGAGATGGAACGTTAGGGCAGTTAGGTCCCGCAGCGAGGCTGCAGCTGGCAACACGGCAGGTTTTGTTCTTAAGAGTGTGAGAGAAGGGCAGGAAATGCCGCGACTTCTCCTTTTTGATCAGTGTGCATTACTGCTTCTGTTCTGCCCTCACCCAGAGCTGTTATGCTCGCTCCGAGCGGTGCCCGGGTCTACCCGCCCTGCTGCAGCAGCTCTGCTGCCTGGCAGTGGAGAGCAGAATGCTCGTGGCACGATGACTGCGTGTACTGCACCTCCATGGTACCCCTGCTCCCTGCACCGCATCTTGCACTGCCTTCAGCTCGCAGCATGCATCAACCAGGGTCAGCATTCCCAGAGGGATGCCAGTGCCAGAGCAGAAACCTCTGCCCCAGTCCATCGGTGCTGCAGGGTCTGTGTTAGCTCTTATCAGAGCATCACAAAAATGTCAGATTGATGCCTCCACTTTCCAGATCACCAGAAGGGATGGACTGAAGGGCAGGAGGGTGTGCCACCAAGCAGTCTGCTTCCATTAGCTGCCAGCAACAAGGGTAGTATGGCTGATGTCAGCCCCCTGTCAACGTGAATGTGTTTGGAAACACACACACAGGAAGGGAGGCCAGGAAACCTAGGGGTCTGTGGGGCCCAAGGGAGATGCACCTAGGCACTGCCCAGAGGACCCGGGTCCTCCTTGCTTGATGTTTCATAATAAGAAACCTATTCTCCTTTGCAGACTGACAAAAGGCTGCTGGGCTGCAGATTCAACCACATAACACATAGCACATATCAGACACCCGGACAGGATAGGCACCAGGCAGCTCCCAGTGCAGAATCCCAACAAGCATCCCTTGCTGCCTGGGTGATGGGTCAGTAATCGCAGGTCTCCATCAGCATGCTGCCATGTACATACACAGATGCAGGGGTGAACCTCGGCTGCCAAAGATTCTTCATCTCAATATATTTCACACCCAACCAGACAAAGAGCTCGGAACATTTCCCATAGGACATTCAGAAGTGAAACACAGCATGTGCCTCCGGCAGGTCCTCCCCAGCACCTCTGCTGTCCCACAGGACTGCCATGGCTCCCCCAGCTCCCACAGCCACAGCAGCCAACGTCAGATCTCCTCGGGATGTGCTTTCACCCCACCTCGCACAGCCCTGCGTGGCACGGCCGCTCCCTCACTGCGGCTTTGTAAGAGGAGCAGGGGCCAGCGTGGATGAATACATTCGTACATTATCAAGCTATTCTGTTGTAACCAGAAGTTCCTCCATGCCCAGCAGCCCTGGGTACAACAGCCATCAGCTCTGTGTTGGGAGGGCTCTGGCTGGCTCAGTGCCTGGAACATCAGGCTCCTCTGATGGGTGCTGCTGCTGCTGGGCCGGGGGCAGGAGAGCGACCTGCCATAGCGGAATGTGCTCGAGGCATCAGGCGGCCACACCTGTTCAGTGCCACCAAAAACAGCCTGGGTGTTTGCCGTCACCGTGGTGGAGCAGAGGCGCTTTGGCCACAGAGGCCGATGCTCCCTCAGTTTCCTATTCCTGTTCAAAGATACACCCCCAGATGTCTCCCCAGATCCCACGGGCAGCTCCTGTCCCTTCGTTGCACCGCTCCACGTTCCCATAGCTGTGTGCTCGACATGAAGCCGGGCCGTGCCCTGCACAGTGGTCACCTGGAGGGCCGGAGCCATTCGCTGCGCCGTGCCGGGGGTCCGCCGTGTCCCCGCAGAGCTCCTGCGGGACAAACACAGCCGCCCGCGGCCGTTGATGTGGGGCAGCTTCAGCCCTGCGTCCCGCTGAGAGCAGTTACCACAAGAGATTGTTTTTTCCCCTTCTGGGGGTATTTTTGGCGCACTGTCTCTTTCTTTATTTGCATTGCTCTAATTCGGGCGCGGGGCTCTCGGAGCAGGTGATGCTCTTCTCGTTATCGCCGCGCGGTGAATTGTGGCTAAAGGAGGCTCTGAGGGCAGCACGGGATCTGTCATTAACTCCCGACGCCGCTCACCCCCAATTACACCGCTGCGTGAGGATCATTAGGTGTGAAATACAAAAAGGTGGCACTGTAATTGAAACCTTTTTTCTTTTTTCTTAGTTAAATTCTGAAATCAATAAGAAGGAAATTAAAGAAGAGCCGTGCGATAGCTCTCGGCCCATTTGCTCGACACAGAGCCCTAATCGCCGTGAAGAGCCACTTACAACCAGCCGCGCTCCCTAGGAAGGGAAACCGGAGGGTTTCCGAGCGCGGCCGGGCGCGTTCCGACGGCACCGAGGGCGGGGAACGCGGAGCTCCCGGCGCCGGGAAAGGGCCCGTCTGATGCAGTGCCCGGGGCGGCCATCCCGCACGGAGCACCGCACCGAGGGCCGGAGCGCTCCGCACAGC